GAATTGACTATGGAAGTTGGATAAGAATTTTTAAAGACATATTGATATGATGAAACTATTGATGTGTACAGAAAATACTGGTTTTGCTTAGGAAATATGTATAACCGATTTTTAAATCCAAGATGGCTTGTACAAGATACTAGAAGTTTTGTTAAAGAATAATTTAAAGTTTAGAGATGACTCGGGAAAGCGATTAACCACAGAATCTCTAAATTATAATTATCCTAGTTAAGAGTTTTAATACTGAAATTATCTGGTTAAGAAATTACGAAAATGCCCTTGAGAGGTAAAAATAGTCTGAGTTGACCATTAACGAGAAAGTACTTTGAGGATTCGTACTTAACTTGATAAATTATAGATGTCATTATTAAGATCCTGTCTTTGTATAGAAAATTCCTAGTAACCTGTTGTAACATTTGAGAAGGCACTTGACTCGAAAATCTCTGAGTTATGAATAATAATTTATCGAGGGTGAGATTTTGTCAGAATAGTTTGGAGGGACTGGCATAATGAAAAGTTTGATGGAAATGACCAAGAATATCACCAAACTCAAGAATGATTGGATATCCTTGAGCTCCAAAATTAATGGAATAAAATTGAGCACCAGAATGACCAAAATACCCTTATGGACTTGACTAAGTAGATATTTTGGATTAATTAAAGAATCCAAATAAACATGGGTGTTGTATTACCCTTAAAGTTATGGAACTCAACTTAAGTGAGTTGATCAACGCTAATGCTATGTCAGTACCTGAATAGCATAGGTACCACTCGAATCCTTGTTGTCTCCTCAAGTTTGGATCAATGATAATTCTGGAAGTACTCAGCTTAGCTAAACTCTAGATCGCATTCGGTGCTAAGAAGTGGATATTTATTAGACAAATCAACTACGAATACCAAATTAAACTGAACGGAAGTACAATATGTATCGAAATTCAGAAACATCCGAATTACTCTGGAAAACTCTGAAGTAACCGGGATAGACTTGACTGCTAAATGAAATAAGTAACCTCAATGACTGAGAATTAAGCAAGTGATTTGGATAAGTCTGGAAACTCTGATGAGTTTACATAGTGTATCATTCATATGGGTTATGAACCATAAATCAAGTACGTCAGCATTTTCTGATATCGTGAAGCGTGGAAATGAAATAAATACCATTTGAAGATCTATTCAGCGATGATTCTGAAGATGATCCATGGACAAGAATTTTTGGTATTAAAGAGTAAATACCCTGGAAGGTTAATGAATTGACCAGTCGACAAGTATCAGTTCTGGGAGTTGTACGATAATCCGATCTATCGACATAGATTGTAATGTTCTGAATATTTATCTCTTTCTTATCAGCTCAAATCATATTCTGAATAACTGATGATTTCTTCAGTTAATGAACTTTTTCAATAGTGATTCTAACTTCTGGTATTCTATCAATATACTGAAGATCTGTGTTTCTCTTCCCAATAAGAATATCAGTATCTCTAAATAATATCTGGAAACTCTAGTGTGTTCCCTAATCACATGAATGTTTTACCTGATTTCTGACCTGAATTCTGATCTGATACCTGACCTGGATTCTGTTCTAATACTTGACCTGAATTCTGTTATGATATATGAACTGAATTATGTTTTGATTTTTGATATATATATTTACTAACGGAAAATGTTTTATTTGGGGGGTAATGTTGAAGGAAGTATACCTGGAGGCTCCTCGGCTTTGTGCTCAGGGCCTTACTTACTGGCTCCTCGGCTTTGTGCTCAGGGCCTTACTGGACTTGACGGTGGGTGTATGGTTCTGGGGAACCTACATATTTTGGACTTGACGGATGGGGGTTGTTCATATTTTTAAAACATGTTACATAAACCGATTTTACTGAAATATTTTATTGTATCTTTTCACTGGTTTTACGGGAACACACTAGATAACCTATTCTGATCTCCTGAACCTAGACATCCAAAATATTTCCATCTGAACTGAATACTATCTGTTACTACCTGAAATATCAATGGGACCTCAGCTCAGCCTAAAAATATGTAGATATATGAACCAATAAAGAAATATATGTTTATCTATATATGCACATTCTTCAGCATTATCTGGTAGTTCTGTATTACTGAGCTTTCCGAAGCTCACTCTATTACTCACCATTTCATGTTAAAAGAATTGTACCAGTGCAGTTATCGACTTCAGTAAGGGAGTTCCTCCGGTGTTGTTTGCAGAGTATTAATCATGTTTATTTTACATTTTCTTTAATAAGTTTTAAATTTTCTGATATTTTTACAATGGGTCTCTCCGGTGGCCCTAATGTGACACTCCAGATCGGATCGGGTTACCCGCATCGGTCTGAGGGGGTTACATTCTATTTTTTTTATTTTCTTGTAATTATTCCATGCAGATGCACTTTATCGCTCAGATTTCTTTCCTGGTCTTGGCTGGATGCTTACTAGGTCTGTATGGAATGAGCTATCACCAAAGTGGCCAAAAGCATATCCTTCTTGGTTAAATATATTGTTTTTTTTTATAGGAATTGTAGGCCTCATTAAAAACCCCCTTCTTGATTAAGGAACTTATTATGAGTTCCTTCATCAGAGGAAGGAGGAAAAGAGTGCCTTAAACTTCATTAATGATAATACCTAAGATTACAACAAGAAGAAGCCCCTTACAACAATTTGAAAAAACCCAAAATAAAATACCCCTAAGATACACTGAAATTAGCCAATGGCAGATTTAGCCAACCCATCAGCCTCAATATTGGCTGCCCTAGCAACCCACTAATACACCCTCAACTTATTTTAGCTTAATAGTTATGTTCCTTACAAGACTGACAAAAATCTGAGGGCAGAAAGTTCCATTCTTAACCCAATCCACTGCCAATTTGCAGTCTGATTCTAACAATAAACGACCATTAATACCTCCTTTCACTGAATCAAAGAAAATTAGGCCCTTCTGAATAGCCCTTAGCTCCATCATAATAGGTGGACCTGGACCCGTGGCCTCCTTAAAAGATCCTAGAATAAGACCTTCCTCATCTTAGAATACCCGCAACTCCACTGCTGTTCCAATCCGAATTTGTAGCAGCATCCACATTCAATTTTACAAAGCCCTTAGGAGGGGGGACCAAGGAACTGTAGTAACCATCGATTTGTTGAGAGGGAAGCATGAATCCCCAAGAGACGGGTCCCCGATTAGAGAATCCATTGAAATAACAGAATCTGCAAACTTAGCTGAGAACCAAGATGCAAGTCGTACTCTTGCTAAGAAAAATAGATTAAGATGGTCAAACTTCCCTCTATCAAAAACAATATCATTTCTTACTTTCCAAGCAGTCCAAATAACAACGGCAGGAATAACTTCCAAATGGCAGACCTAGGATTAATATCTTCCCAAGCTTGAGAAACTTCTGCGCATTTGTATGAAAAACCACAAAAGACTCCAATACTGCACAAATTTGTTCCAAAGTGACCACACAACTGAACACGAGAAAAATAAGTGAGAAGAAGATTCAACCTCCAATTACATAAAGGACAAGAAGGATCTGTTATACCCGTAACCCATCTCTTAACCAGTTCAGACCTCACTGGCAGTTTTTGAAGAACTACCTGCCACATGAATACCTCAACTCTTGGTGGCACCAGACCTTTCCACACAAATTTCTTCCAAACATATTCCTCCTTCTGAGCCAAAGAACAAGTCTTCACACATGAATTAGCAGAATAGACACCAATTCCGTTTCCTTTCCAAATCAGACCATCGATTGCCTCTTTAGACAGATAAAAATTAGAAATGATAGCCATCAGGTTAGCCCACTGTTCAAATCCCAATCGGCTAAGCTTCTCCTCAACTGAATATTCCAGATCCATCCCAAAGAGCTGAACTCGCCAAATTCAATCAGTTTTCCAAGCTGGTTTGTAGAGATTGCGAACAACCTGGGAAAAGAAACCTTAAGAGGGCAGTCCATTGCCCATTTGTCCTGCCAAAACTGAGTAAATTGACCATTCCCAACTTCTAGTCTGAACATGCTGCGAAAATAGCAACCAAAATAGTCTTCTTTGAAATAAGAATTCACCACCGAGCTCCAAATCCAAGAAGCTTGAGCTGGGATTTTGCGATTGAACAATAAAGAAAAATGATCAATATTGTTTTTTGAACAGATCATTCTCCTCCAAACAGCATCCTTGTCATTTGCAAATCTCCAAGACCATTTCCCCAATAGTGCTCTGTTCATATTGCTAATATTTAACACTCCTAAACCACCAGCCTCCTTTGGCTTACACACGTTAAGCCAACTAACCCAATGAATCTTATTTTTCTCCGCTCCACCTCCCATAAGAACTTAGACATGATTGAGTTGAGTTTAGAAGTTACGGATGATGGAATTTTGAATATAGACAAGTAGTAAGTAGGAAGAGAACAGAGAACCGATTAATCAAACTAGTCTCCCTGCCAAGGAAAGGGTGGCAGCTTTCCAACCTGCTAGTTTGTTGTTAAATTTTGAAACAACTGGATCCCAAAGAGCGGTTGAATTCCGTGTTGCACCAAGAGGCAAACCTAGATAATCAGAAGGAAATTTCCCCACTGCACAGCCAATAGACGACGCCCACTCCTCCACCTCCTCTGTAGCCGTATTAACACCAAATAACTTGCTTTTCTTAAGATTCAACTGCAGACCAGACATAACTTCAAACACTCTTAAGACCTTTTTAACATTTGAAATTTCCATTTTCGAAGCCCCACAGAAAATAATTAGGTCGTCTGCAAATTGCAGATGAGATAAGTTGAAAGCAGTCTCATTCCTCCCAATATGCAGACCAGAAAACAATCCATCAGAGACAGCCTTTAAAAGCAAAACATTTAGGAGTTCCCCAACTAAGTTAAAAAGCAAGGGCGAAAGAGAACAGCCCTGGCGGAGACCCCTTGCCATAGGAAATTCCTGAGAAGGTACCCCATTTATCAATACTGAAATAGAAGCAGTAGTAACACACTGTTTATCCAACTTCTCCATTTAGAACCGAACCCATTTTCTCCATAACCTTAAAAGAATAGACCCAATCCACAGTGTCGTAAGCCCTTCTAAAATCCACTTTAAACCACATCCTTTAAGTCCCTTTTTCCTCCAGAAATCAATCCCCTCATTGGCTATAAGAGAACAATCCAGAATTTGACGACCTGGAATGAAAGCAAACTGCATAGGGCTTATTACATCGGAAATGCAATTCCTTAATCTCCTCGAAAGACATTTTGAGAGGATCTTGTACAAACCTCCTACAAGGCTTATAGGTATATAGTCATCTAATCCACCAATATTGGCCACCTTGGGGATAAGAGTAATGAAAGTATGATTTACTCCATGTTCCCAATCTTTCCCTAAATAAAAGTTATGAAAAATTTCAGAATATCAACCTTAAGAACAACCCAAAATTTCTTGAAGAAGCCCTATTAAAACCATCCGGGCCGGGAGCTTTGTTGCTATCACACGATTGTAGAGTCTCCCATATTTCTTCCTCCGTGAATTCTTTTTCCAGAATATTACTTTGCTCCACTGAAATTTTTGAAAAATTCATCTTCATATCTTCTACTTCCAAAGTAGAACTAGAGTTGAAAATTCCAAAAAAATGGTCTTTGACACAAGCTTTGATGACAGATGGATCTTGGGTTATCCCTCCATTGACATTCAAAGCATACATGGAATTCCTCTTTCTCCTAATCAACGCACAAGTATGAAAAAATCTTGTATTGCGGTCCCCTTCTTCCACCCATCTAGCTCTCGATTTTTGAAACCATATCTGTTCTTCAATCTTATACAACCTCCATAATTCTGATCTCATATTGTTCAAATCTGATCCTCTGTCCCAACCATATGTACCTTGCCTCTGCTGCAGGTTTACCTCTTCCAAATGAATCCTCTTTTCTAAATCTGTAATCTCTACAGAAGGAAAATGGTCTCTCTTCCCCACCCATTGTTTGATCGACAGTTTAGTAGATTTCAGGATAGATAGAATTCCTGCTTTCCTCTGATCAGACTTGCATTCTTTAACAGTAGACTCTACTAAGTTCTGGAAGCCGTCTTCTTCCATCAAATAATTAAAGAACAGATATAACAATGGGTAGGATAGGAGTTAATTTTTTGAATACCATTTTAGCCATTTACCATAAGTTTGGAGAGAAACTTGGAGAGAATTCAAAATTTGGAAACTCATGTTTAATACCACTTCAAAAGTTTTGGTGGATAGGAGTTAATTTTTTGAATACCATTTTAGCCATTTACCATCAATTGCATATAGTCTTTGCCACAAAGTTGTAACTTCTTTTTCACCTGAACATTTACAAGTTATGAGACATATCTACGATTTTTCGTACTGTCGGAATGACCTTTCTGCTAATCCTCATTTGTTGTACCCTACAAGCATGTAGATACGATAAGCATACATGCACTTTTAACTGACACAAGATAGGGGGTTTGGAGGGGGAGGCCTTGATTTAAATAACATTGTTGTTCTACTTCTGTTGTTGCGGTACAAATAAACTGCTAAAAATTCACATATCTAAGATTTATTATTTCCATTCTTCCCAATTCTCTAAAACTTAATTGCTTTGATGTTGAATAATCTGGTAAAGAAGACAAAAAGAACACAAGAATTTTAATGAGGTTCTGCAATGTGCTTACGTCCTCGGTGCCTTAGGCGGCGCTAGAATTTTTATTCAATTCAATGTCTCATAGGTTTAGGTTACATCTCCTTTTATAATAAATAAACCTTGGTACATATTTACAAAAATAACCATGTACCATACCGCGGGGTCGCAGCCCCCGCACCTCCAACCCACATAATTGTAACCCCCACTACGAGACTTTCTCGGTATATTTATGAGTCATACCTAACAAATCTCACCTTAGCGAATATCTTTCCCCTTAGGAAACATTCAATGTGGGTTAGGTTACCTTCTTTAACAACTCGTAACACTCAACAAGTCCAAGCAATGCATGAACTTGTCTGCCGTAACTGTCATGGTGAACATATTAGCGGCATTCTCATCAGTATGTACCTTCTGAAACAAAATCTCTCCAGATGCAACCAAATCTCTCTGATCTTGTGAAACCTTACATCAATATGCTTAGTTCTAGCACGATATACCTGATTCTTAACCAAGTGAATAGTACTTTGATTGTCATAAAGCAACTGAGCTCCACCTTGCTGAACAACCAACTCCTTCACTAAACCAGTAAGCCATAAAACTTCTTTTGCAGCTTCAGCCACTGCCATGTATTCAGCTTCAGTTGTAGATAATGCCACAACAGATTGAATAGTAGACTTCCAACAAATAGGCCCTTCATCAAGGGTAAAGACATACCCTGTCGTAGATCTTCTATTATCCAAGTCACCCACATAGTCTGAATACACATATCCTACAACAAGAGGATTATCCCCTGACTACCAAAAATAATTTCATGTCCCACAGTACCCTTTAAGTACCTAAAGATCTACTTGACTGCTTCCCAATGTTGCTTATCAGGTTTAGACATGTACTTACAAACTTGACTAACAGAATGAGCTAAATCAGGGCGAGTACATACCATTGCATACATCAAGCAGCCAACAATATTAGAATACGAAAATTTTTCCATATCTTCAGCTTTCTTATCTGTGTGATGGCACTGTTCTGATGAGAGCTTAAAGTGATTCGCCAATGGAGTGCTTACTGATTTTGCGCTACTCATCGCAAACCTTTCTAGCATTTTCTCAACATAACTCCGTTGAGATAGCCACAGTTTCCTTGAGTCTCTGTCCCTGCAAATTTTCATTCCAAGAATTTTCTTTTCAGCACCTAAATCTTTCAAATCAAATTCCTGACTCAATAAAGTTTTTAAACCGATAACATCATCCATGTACTTCGTATCAATTAACATATCATCAACATACAATAACAAAAAAATAAAAGAACCATCATCAAGGCTCTTAACATAGACACAACAATCATACTCACATCGTTTGTAGCCAATCTTGATCATATAGGAGTCAAACCATTTGTACCAATGTCTCAGAGACTGTTTCAACCCGTACAAAGATTTCTTCAATCTGCAAACTAAATGCTCGTTTCCAGGTTGAGTGAAACCTTCAATCTGCTTCATGTAGATATGCTCCTCTAAATCGCCATGCAAAAAAGTAGTTTTAACATCCATCTTTTCTAAATGCAAATCCCAACTAGCCACCAATGCAAGTACTACTCGGATTGAAGTATGCCTGACCACAGGAGAAAAAAATTCATCATAATCAACTCCTTTCTGCTGTGAAAAACCCTTTGCTACCAAACGAGCCTTGAACTTCTCCCCCTCTTTTTCTGTTACTGCTAGTTTCTTCTTATACACCCATTTACAACCAATCGGCTTCTTACCCTCAGAAAGGCGAACTAACTCCCATGTGCGATTGTGATTCAAAGACTCCATCTTCTCAACCATGGCAGCCATCCACTTGTCGTTTTCCTGACTAGTAACAACATCATGAGAAGTAATTGGATCATCACTGCTAATAGAAAGTGCAAAAGATACCAAGTCTTCAAAACCCAATCTGTTCAGAGGTTTTTTATTTGTCCGTCTCACCCTGTCTCTGGCGATACTATAATCATGCAAATCATCCGTAGCAGAACCACCAGAAGTCGGTTGAGAAATTTATGTTTTCTCAACTGGAAACTGCTCGAAATCCACCACTTTCGTATATTTCTTCTGCTGCAACATGTTTTATTCATCAAAAACAACATCTCTACTTATCACAATTTTCTTCGCAACTGGATCCCAGAACTTAAATCCTGTGAGACCTTTCTTGTAACCCAAAAAAATGCACTCCTTCGATTTTGCATCAAGTTTGGATCTCTCATCAGCAGGTACATACACATAATAAGGACAACCAAAAATCTGTAAGTGATCAAAAGTGTTTCGTGATCTATTGATAAGATAACACGCCATGTTAACTGCCTTAGCCCAGAAGTGTTTGGGAAGCCCCGCATTCAACCGCAAACATCTGGCTCTTTCATTCAACGAACTATTCATCCATTCCGCAACACCATTCTGTTGTGGTGTCTTGCGCACTGTAAAATGCCTCTTAATCCCATGCTCCTTACAGAAGTTTAGAAACTATGAATATGTGTACTCCGTACCATTGTCATACTGCAAACACTTGATTTTTCGTCCTGTTTGGTTTTCTACCTCAGCTTTCCACAGCTTGAATTTCTCAAAAACGTCAGACTTCTGTTTCAAAAAATACACCCAAACTTTCTATGAAAAATCGTCAATAAAAGTAACATAATACCTAGATCCACCCAAAGACGATGTCGTAGAAGGCCCACATACATCAGAATGCACATAATCAAGAATCCCTTCAGTTGTGTGCTTCCCAGTCTTGAAACAAACTTTATATTGTTTACCAAGAACACAATACTTGCAAAAATTGAGCTTATAGCTTTTAACACCATGCAACAGTTTTTTTATGTAATTCAGTCATACCACATTCACTAAGATGAGCAAGACACATATGCCAGAGTTTGGTAGTATCATCACAGGACTCAACAGAATGAACTCCACCTACAACGGTACTCCCTAACAATCTGTAAATATTCCCTGCAATCATCTTTCCTTTCATAATAATCAAAGCTCCTTTAACAATCCGAATGGTTTCCCTATCCTCATCAGCCTTAGGGATAAAACCATTCTTGTGCAAAGTGCCCTAAGAAATCAAATTCTTCTTCAAATCTGGGATATGTCGAACACCACACAACGTCTGAACAGAACTATCATACATATTAATTCTGACATCACCAATACCAACAATATTGCAACATCGATCATCGCCCAAATAAACAGAACCAGAATTAAGCGACCTGTATGTCGAAAACTATTCCCTATTTGGCGTGATGTGATAAGAACATCCAGAATCAAGAATCCAAGCATCCGTCAATTGAGTCGTTGAAATAGAGAGCATATCACCCTCACTGCAATCAGAATTGTCATCCTCGACCACATTCAGATATTTGGATGAGTCATCACGCTTCTCATCAGTTTGCTTTTTCAACTTCGGACAGTCTCACTTCATATGTCCCACCTCCTTGTACTTGTAACAGTGAATTGTCTTTTTATTCCTAGATTTGGATCTGAAATTCCACTTCCCAAACACTGTCTTCTCTAGCTTTTCCATCCACGGTCTCGATTACCCTGGACATATAAGCTGTCAGCTTGAGAGCTTTCCCCTCCATTCTACTTCCGCTGGTTGTGAGCCAACAAGGCTTCAGTAATCTCTTCAACTATGATAGTCTCTTTCTCATATGTAAGAGTAGTCACCATGTGTTCGTAATAGGGAGACAACGAACACAACATAATCATCGCTTTGTCTTCATCCTCAATTTTCACATCAAGCCGAGCCAAATCAGAAACGATTTGATTGAAGACATTCACGTGTTGCGCCAAATCATGATCATCCTGCATCTTCTGCCCATACAACCGCTGCTTTAGATATAGTTTAGTCATTAAGGATTTGGACATAAACTGACTTTCCAACTTCTTCCAAATTTCATCTGGAGACGACAGATGCATGACGTGATACATGACCTCGTTCGCCAAACATAATTATATGGTTCCTGCCGCTCGCTGCTACAATTCTTTCTAATCTTCCTCCTCTATCGATGCCGGTTTTGTAGGTCGTAAAGCCTTCAGGATCCCTTGCTGCGCCAACAGATCCTTCACCCTTGTTTGCCATAATCCGATGTTACCCTGACCATCAAATTTTGCAACTTCAAAATTGGCTCCTGACATCTGATACCAATTGTTGAATAATCGGGTAAAGAAAACATAAAGAACACAAGAATTTTAACGAGGTTCAGCAATGTGCTTACGTCCTCGGTGCCTTAGGCGGCGCTAGAACTTTTATTCAATTCAATATCTCATAGGTTTAAGTTACATCTCCTTTTATAATAAATAAACCCTGGTACATATTTACAAAAATAACCTTATATCATACCGCAAGGCCGCAGCCCCGCACCCCCAACCCACATGATCGTAACCCTCGCTACGAGACTTTCTCGGTATATTTAT